GTCTTGCCATGTGTGCTGCAGCTTCAAATTGGGTACCCCAACTGAAATCTGCAGTTACTATGACGCCTAGATCCATGGCACTGATTACAGTGCCTTAACGGTTCTCTGCCCTGTATATTAGTGCATGCCTAATCCTGAGTGCCATTACCAGAATACGATGTCTTCAGAATTAGCAGACGAAAGTCTGTTTCTTATTGCAATTTTTGTAGATGAACTTCGGAACGATAAAATGCAAACCCGATTGGCGAGTGTTAAAAAGTTGAATACTATTGCGCTTGCTCTCGAGCCCGAACGAACCCGAAACGAGTTAATTCCGTTTCTGGCAGAGATCATTTATCATGAAGATGAAGTTCTCCGCGAAATGGCCCAACAGTTGGCGGAATTTGTACCATTGGTTGGTGGATCAGAGTATGTGCACTGTTTGCTACCTCCTCTCGAGGGTTTGGCCTCTGTGGAAGAAGAACATATGATCATGCCTTGTGCATGCTTCACGGGCTTCGTGAAATATACATAATTATTATTATTATAACTTCGAATTGCCGCCAGTCTCAGAAAGCCTTCAATGGTTCAGCAGTTTTAGAAAGCAACTGACTTTTGTTGCATTTAGTGGCAATTCCCATGTGTGGGATCACTTGATCACCTTTGCAATATCCTCTTCTAAGTCGGCTCTTCCAATAGATTCAAACACCTTTACATCATCAGTGAAGATGAAGCAAGGTGATCTATTAATTTCTGCTAGATCATTTATGAACAACAGAAATAGAAGCGGGCCTGACGCCACTAGTGGCATGAAAGACCTGGGACGTTTCTTCTCCTACCCTCACCCAGGACGTCCTGTTAATCAAGAACGCTGCCATTCATTTAAATACTGTTCCTGTGATTCTGAAAAGAAACTTAGCTTATGTAGAAGCAGTCTATGACTTACGGAATCGAACGTCTTACTGAAATCTAGGTAACATCTACCATTCTGCCTTCGTCTATCCTCTAAGTGACTTCGTCTACGTAGCATAAGAGCTTAGGAAGGAACGACCTGACTTCATGAAACTATGCTGGACCAGGATCAGTAATGCATACTCTAAAAGGTGGACACAGACATGCGTCCTGGTTAACTTTTCCATGCACTTGCAGAAAATACTAGTGCAATGCTGCGGGTAAGATCCACTATCACCTTTGTGTAACGCCACCACAACGGCAGTTTTCCAGTCGCCCGGAAGCACCCCCTCCTCCAGTGATTTCTGAAACAGCACCCTTAAGGGTTCTGCTAAGATTTGAGCAAGTGGTTTCACAATGGCAAGATATATGCCATCGGGACCCGGTGCCTTACTGATATCCAAATCCCCCAGCGCCTTTTGCACATCCACTGGAGATATCTGCATCTCTCTTATGCTCGGTGGAAGCGAATTAGGGGATCTAGGTTCTAATGTCCTGTTATCTAACCTATAAATAGTAGTGAAATAGTCGCCCAGTGCTACTGCCTTGCTTTGGTCGTCTGCCCCAATTGCGTTGTTTTCCAGAATCAAGGCACCTATGACATCCCTCAAGTTGCGTTTCGATTGGACGTACCTGAAAAGCCTTTTTGATTTCTGCCTGACGCTCTTAGCTTATATTTTCTCTTTTCTACTCTTATAAGACTGATTGCATTATTCCCCTTGATCGCGTAGTTTTTCTGTTGTATTTCATGATGATTTTTCTGAAAATCCTTCCAAACCCATGATGATTAATGGTGACATAACTCTATTTGTATGTTGCTCCTATATTGACATTTCTCAATTACAAACACCATACATTATTCTTGATTTGTTAATTCGCTACCCGGCACATTTGAACTTGGCGTGGTCAGAGAACGTGAGCATGTTTGCCTCTCTCTGGA